ATTTGGGTGGCTAAATGTCTTACGTGACACGTATGGTAACCCACTTTCTTTCCTCTTTCTTTTCGCTATTCACTAAATTATTGTACACCCGCCTTAATTAAACATTTGTTTTAGTGACTTAAGGCCTTTATGACGTCATATTCTAGTGAAAATCCAATTAAAACCTAACTAATCCTAAATAAAAAAAAATTAAATAAAAATAAAAATAAAAATAAAAATAGAGCTTTACTTTACCGTTTAAGAACTAATTGACTACACAAGGGAAAAAAAAAAAACTTTAACTCTCTCTCCTCAATTAATCTTCTATAATACGCCTTTCTTCTTCCATTTAATATTCGGTATTGTTTGGTTGACTCAAATTTTTGTGGGCATTCAAAATTCCCATGAATTTCATTTTCAACTTCTTGTTTTGTTGACACAAAAAAGTGAAAATGGGGGCAATGACAATTCATGGGAATTTTGGCTTCCCACAAAGCATGGGAATTTACTTACCTTATTCCCCCTAAATAAGTTAAAATTTCTATGGGAATTTACTTCCTCCATTCTTAAACAAACAAATTTATTGAATTCTCATGATTTTGATGATGAAATTTAATCCCCGCACATTGAAATATCATGGGAGTTTACACTTTCCTAATGAACCAAACAACCCTGCATATCTTCTTTTCCCATTAAATAATCTTCGTATTCACCTCTCATTTGATAATTTTCATCTTCTTGTCTTATTAACACTAAAAAAGCAACCCTTGAATCTTTAACTATTTCATTCGTGCTTAATTAGGGCAAGTTGCATATTATCTTAGACAAAGTGATAACTAAACTTATTGCCTTAGACCAAGAGATAACTAAACTAAATTCGAGCTACTCTGGTCAAATACCCTGATTAGAGAAGCTTCTCTAGCTTTGGGTGACTGCGATAGCTCACGTTCCACAGAAGGTGAAAACCACAACCTTCGAGCAGCCCCAGGGGGGGCATTTTAATAGCGTCAGAGTCATTGTAACTTGTTGCTCTGCTCTTCATAGAAAAAGATAACCCTTCTTTCAACCTTTTTTCCTTCTCGATTTCAACCAAGGATTGACGTGCCCATTTTCTAGGAGATTCTCTAAGCATGGGTCGTAGGCCTTGTTTGGCAAGTGGCTGTTGGCTGGTTCACTTGGCTTGTTTGACCAGCTGGTATGTTTGGCTGTTTATAATGGCTTTTGAAATTGGCTGTTAAAGCTAGCTGTTTATAAAAGTGTTTGGTAAATTAATTGTTTGTAGTTGGCTGTTTATTAGATAATTTGTGGGCTAACAAGCCAAAAGCCAACAAAAAAGCTACTCAAAGCAGCTTTTTCATTTTGGCTTAAAAGCCAGCTTTTTCACTGGCTAAAAAGCCAATTACCAAACACATTTTTTGGCTGTTTGACCTCATAAAAAAACCAAAAAAGCCACAAAAAAGCCATTTACCAAACATGGCCATAATTGAAAACAATGTCCTTGCTAGAGTCTTTAGCTTCTTCTTTGAAAGAGCAAATACTCTTTGTATGATCCAATCGTCCATAGAAAAAATAGAAATCCACGAGACGTTCAGATTTAATGGTTATCCATTTTGACAAGGTGAGGCCGGTAGCCAAGAATAGACCCCTTCGCAAAAAAGTTTCAATATCAACAAGCACCTTGATTCGCATGAATTCTCCCCACCTTAAATGTTATGACTCATCAAACTCGATGAAACCACCCAGATAGTCACCAATCTCCTTCATAACCTTCAAAGAGCGCTTGTTAAAAGGAACATCTAATAATCAAACCCACATTGGGGATTGCTTGAATTCAATTTCTAATGGTTGTTCATCTCCTGTAATTTCCTTCAATACCAGAAGTTTTTCATTAAAGAACCATGGACAACCTTCGATAATTAATCTTTTCTTTATCCGCCACGCGGAAGAACTGGAAAGCAAACAAGTTTGTATCAATCATTTTAATGGCAATTTTGTCCTGCAGTCTCCAAACATTCGTTAATGTTCTTTTCATCGCCTCTAAATTGAAAGATTTTGAGGCCCATAATTTTCCAATTAACGACAAAGAGATCTTATTGTTGTTTTCGCCGGCATCTTCATCTCCCTCAACATCTCCCCCTGCAACCTTAACCTCATTCTCTGTTAACTAGAAACGTTCAAATTCTGTTAGCAAATCCTCCTCCGTCATTGAGAAACAAAGGTAGAAGATAGCAAGCAACAATTAAGAATTAAAATTGAGGAACTGGAATTAAAAGTGAGATAGAGCAAATGTAACAAGGCCTAATCTAGGGACATACAAACCCTAAGCGAGGGACTCAACTAAACTTAGTTAATTGTTTAATTTATCACTGTTTTTTGTGAAGTTTTTTTTTTTTTTTTTTTTTTTTTTTTTTTTCAGATTGTGAAATTGATATAAGGTACAAAAATTCTTGAAGGGAACTATAGTTATGTTATACTGTGTGAAACCTCGAGTCTCTTCAAAATTTGAACTTCTACTTTAGAAAAGCGTATATATATAACTCAAAGTGATAAGCTCATAGAGATATGTAAAAAGAACATATCTCATGTATGTCTTTTGTGTCCCATTTTATTTCATCACAATTACATGTTCTTTTTATTTTAAGTTACTTTCCTTATAAATATGTGTTTCAATTATTACAACCTGTTTCATTTGTCAATTTAATTTAATATGAATACAAACAATAAAATAAAGGGTAATGTTGTTTACTTGTTTGTAGCTCTTAGGCTATGAATAAACATTTAATAACTTTTCTTATCTATAATATTATTAAAACCCAAGGGATTAACATATTGACGACATGTGTCATACTTTATCATCATAAAATTTATGACATACCGCCACATAGATGATGACATGACAACTCATTAATATTTGGATTAGATTTGAACCATTACATCCCTTGAAATTCCCAACTTTCATTACCACTATTCCACAACTAACATTCATACATGATTTGTAACTTTTTTTTTAGGATTCTAAAAGTTTTAAAGCATTTTATACAATTTCCTACTTAATTGTAAAACCAAAACTACTGCATCTCTCTTTCTATCCCCAACTAACTTTACCATTTTTATTTTATTTTTTAAACTTAAGGTATTGGTTCCAAAATATTATTTATACTCAAGATATTTTTTTCATTTTGTATATAAATATAATTCAGGGCATCTCCCAGGCCCAAAACTAGTTTGGTATGAATTTAAGAGGGCATGACAAAATCAAGCACAAATCAATATTCCCTAGGTTCTTTTTATTAAGGACCTATTGTTAGAATGTTTCCCTTTTTAGTAAGTGGTTTTTTACAATTCTAACCTCATTCTCCTAATTTAATCCCCAAATTGTCCTGTCATTTTTAATTTTTTGTGCCATATATTTTTGGCATTTATTGTGTCAACCGACAATATTTTCTCTCTCCCGATTCTTCTTCATTATTCTGGATTCTTCATCTTTTTAGGTTCCCTCTACAAATAATCCCCTCTACAAAAGCTTTAGCCTATATCAATTTGGCTTTATTATCGCTCATTTTGTTAAGATTTGAAGTTTACTCCGGGCACTGTTCACATTTTCTCTCTTCAAAAAATCCTAGATTTGGGTTTATGGTTTATTACGGATCTTGAGAAAATTTTTTACCAAAAAAAATTCCTTGGTTATTTTATTTATTTATTTTTTTTTTTAAAAAAAAAAACTCCTCCCTTACCTAGATTTTCAATCTGGAATTTTTCCCTCATTCCTCATTTTTTCTGAAAGTTTTATCTTGTTCCTCTTTTTGAAGATTTTCCCTCATTCCTCATTTTTTTTTGAAAATTTTCATTTGGCAAAGTCTGTGTGATTGTTAAAGAAGCAAATGATTAGTTCTTTTTTGTCCCATGCATTGAATGTGATCGTCTTTTTCATTTGTTAAAGATTGCTTACATATGCATCCTATTTATGATTAGTGTATTTATTTTCATTTCACTTTTTTCTTTCATTTATCATTTAATGCACTTAGTGTATTTTGGTGCTTCCATATTATATGGTTTAAGGAATATACAAAAACCTTAATTCCTGTGAAAAATAAGTAGTTCCTTAATAAAAAGACGAAGGGAGTATAATTAATATTATCATTTCATTTCTTTTCTTTTTTTTTTTTCATTTTCAGCTTTTTATAAACAATCCCGCTATATATAGCATTTTTCTAAAATAAAACGGGATAGAATTCTCAAAATATAACAATTAATTTATCAATAAATCCCAATTGATGAGCCATAATTAACTTGAAAATTGTACCTGTAGAATGGATTGAATTATCTTGAGTGATGCCTTAACCTTGGAAATTGGAACTACCTCAAAAATATCCACTACTAATTTGGTGAGAAATGGAAGAAATTGGATTTGGGTTTGGACATTTAATTAAGATTTCCCATAAACAACTATCATTCATAATCATATCTTCCACCCAACATAAAAAGTTTGGCCAAACAAATTTTAGATAACTGTTAAATAGATGTATGCATAACAAAGTGTCAGAGTGCAATAGTGATGAAATCCACTTTTTTTTTTTCCCACATAAACCTAAGTTTAATACTACATATTTCTCTTCATTCTCTTTTTTGGAACAATTTACTGATTTACGGTGTGTTTAGATTGAAAGAAATGGAGGGAAAGAAAGAGGAAGGAAATGAAGAGATGAAATATCTTTTGGATAACAAATGAGGAAGGAAGGAAATGGAAGGGGAGAGAAATGGAGGAATTAAATTACAAGAAATTTATCCCTCCAACAGGGAGAGATTTAGAAGGAAAACTCACCTTCTTTTCCTTCCCCTTTATTTATCCAAACACAGTGTTAAACTTAAATAGAAGCCAGCTAAGGCTTACTCACAAAATGAACGTGTTCACTTATCATTACAACAAGAAATTGCAAAACAAGGGTTAGCTCAGGTTTCCAGTTAAAAACAACACTGCTGAAGATAAAACAAAATTATACTGCTCTAATATTTCCAGTCTCTTTGTCAGTATTCTGATGTCCACTTGAATTTTGAGTGTTAACACAGCTGATCAAATTCAGCACATGATAAAATAACAAAGGCACTCACAATCTTTACAGAATAACAAATGAAGGCATACGATTCAGTTATTCACAACTGATAGTGCGATGAAACTAAATGGTGTCTTAGTCTATGATTCAGCAATTCAAATCCAAAGCCCTAAGGCCTGGATGAAACCTGATACATATTTACATCACAGCATCCCGAGTTGGGAAGCAATTCTAACCTCTAAAAACTTCACATTACCTTAATTACAGGGTCTGACAACAGTGTCTGAGATCAGATACAAAAGGTAAAGGCTACTATAAGCATTCAGACCTGAGATCACATAATTTCAACAAGCATACAGAGGTCGTACGAACATGATTCCGCACTCAAATATCCATGTTGTCGAAAATTTCCCCATCTTCCTCAAAATCCAACTCATCAGTCAGATATTCATCAGCCACCAAGTTGCTGCAAGAAAAACCACTTGCACAATCAGAATCAACATAAAAGGGAACTTCTAAATTCAAAATAATCATCACCTTTCAATCATATTTTCACTTAAGTTTACACTGTCCTTATTTCAACACTTTTGAGAAAAGGCATTATGTGATTCAACATAACGTAAATAATTAGGTACTTTATAGATGTAAAATACTTCTAGTTTGAGCAACACCTGATGTTTAAAGACTTCCTAAGTACTAATCTGAGGAAATAAAGTTACTATACGATTACCATTCCCATCAAACGGAACAAAGCACATAACCAGACTAAACAGAAGAATACTCCTATACAATTCTCACTTAGAAGGCATTTGGTATATTATAAACGGATATGGATAGAAGAAAATGGAAAATGGAAAATGCTTAGGCTGTTTGGTATACTATAAACGGATGGGGATAATAAGGGGGATGGCCGGAAGATGTCATGGGGATAATCAGGAAGACAAGGATAGGAAAAAGTCCCTCTTATCCTGCCAAGATAATACTACGTAGTTCGTAAATGGGAAGAGGGGCAAGGATAATGAAGAAAATACAAATTTAACCTTATACTCCCTCCGTTTTTGAATATTTGCTCCACTTTCCATTTCTGGCCATTTTAAAATACTTCCATTTCCTTATTTGGAAAACTTTAACAATATTTAGTTCATTTATCTCCTCAACTAGTTACCCAACATAAATCATATTTAATTAATTTCATATTCTCTCTCTTCTAATACTCTAACCTACTTTTGCTTTTTACAATTTTTTTATTTTTCCACCAACCCCACTACCTCCATATTTTATTACTTTCTCCAATTTCTCCTAAAACTCCGCACATGGAAAAATGAAGCACGGAGGGAGTAAGTAAGAGAGAGAGAGAGATTTATTAGGGTATTCATGTTACTTAGTTCTAAACCCAATATTGATCTCAATCCATACCAATAAAAAATAAAAAGGAAATTACATCCTTTAATTTTTATCCCATCATCCTATTCCTATTCCCATGCCTAACATGCCGCTAAGGATATAAAATACTGTAAAATCTACCTCAGGCAGCAGAACCGTAAGCTCACAACACACTTCAGCTTTCTGTTGTAGAAGAAGTAATTGAACGACCATCTGCAAAGGAGAAAATACAAACACAACATTGTCATAATGATCACCCATAGTCAAGCAGATAAATTAGTAATAAACATACAGTGATGGAATCTTACATGGCTCCTCTTTGTAAAAAAGGGTCTGCATCACAGTCAGGATTATAACTGTAAATTTCACATTCAGAGAGTTTCACCACCTGCAATACATATAACAAATATTTTAGTCAAACAAATCAACCTGAGTCAACGACTTCCACTAAGAATTAAAAGGTTATGACAGATTATATTAGCAATATAAATTCTCATGAAATAAAAGGCCACCATTGACATAATTGATAACTGCTGAAAACTTACTTCATCTAAGGCCTTGTACAAATCTTCGAGGAGTGAACTACCACCATTAGCTTCAATCCATTCCTATACGCAGCAAAGGTAACAAGCACCATAAAAAAAGGTCAACAACTACGACAATAACCATGAAGGCAAAAGCTCACCTAAAAATCTAATATCATTAACTCTTTAGACCAATACATTCACCATAAAAGCAATAATATACAAATAAATTTAAGTAACAAGCTAAACTAAGTGAGTCAAAGATAAGAAACATAGGTAAAGACCTCTGCAATTTTGTCCCTAACTCCCTACAAAACTTTTCCTAGACTCCCCAATAACAATGAGATTTCCATTATAAAATGATTGAATCCTCAATCTTATACTTATCAAAATAAATGAATTACTTTTAAAAAAGAATATAAACATAAATAATATATATTTACAAAAATAACTTACGGATAGTTATTTCATCAACCCATCTAGTACACCAGCATTTAGAATTAGCTTCTTAATACCTACACTAAAGCAGCAACAATAGTACAACACCCCCAACCACAAAACAAAACAAAACAAAACAAAAAAAAAAAAAAAAAAAAAAAAAAAAAAAAAAAAAGGGAAAAAAACTCGTTCTTTATCCCTAATGTCTATTTTACCAGGTTCTAGGGTAGCTGACTAGCAGATTATCATAAAAACAAGAAAAAGATAGATACCTTTGATGCTTCTCTCATGTAAGAATCAAATAATTGCACAAAACTGTCCCAGGTTTCATCTATGAAGAACTGGTGAGCCTTCACTGCACTGCGAGGCAGCAAACAAAGTGGGGTAATATCACAACATACAAAACCACATAGCTATAACGAATTGCAATTGAATGCACCCCCTCCCCCAGAAGGCTCCAAACCCAAAAATATTGAAAAAAAAAAAAGATTTACTTATTTGTCAAAACTTGCTACGAAAACTTTACTGTGGGAAATGGAGAGACTTGAACTCTCAGCTCCTACAGGAGCGACAGTTTTCAGAACCGTCTGTCAAACCTCTTGACAACACTCCCAATACCAATTACGAGAGGATTATATGTGGGTTGCCATGTCGCCCATAAAGCTGACAATGACATTACCCATAATCCTCTTTTTAAAGAAATTCAAAATTAAACATCAGCAAACCCAGTTACCTGAAGTCATAATCTGGGTACATGTGGTACAGAGTAAGGACCAAGTAAATCAGTGTCTTCCGGCTGAAGGAACAGTAGTTTGGTTAGTTTGACTCCAAAAGGCATATCATGCCAAACTCATCTAAAAATAAGTAGAAACCTGGATCTGCTAATCAAATTTTCTGCAGGTGACGGAGAATCAGTGTCAGATGATCTTCCAAGTTGATCAAGGATCTGCAAAAAACAAATTGGCAGCTATGAAGAAAGATCCACAGGTAAAATTAATGCAACTACAGTTGCAGAATACAATCATAGTAATTTTATCCTTAGATAAGTAACATCAATATATTTCAACATTCAAAAAGGTCAATTAATATCCACAGGTAAAATTAAAATTTTGGCAGCTATGAAGAAAGATCCACATGTAAAATTAATGCAATTACAGTTGCAGAATACAATCACAGTAATTGTTATCCTTAGATAAGTAACATCAATATATTTCAACATTCAAAAAGGTCAATTAATAAGGAGACGAGCAAAACATAACACCACAACTTTCTTATGTGTAAACGTAAACAACTAGTTAAGTTTTTTTATTAAAATATAAAAGCAAAGAAAGCAGAATGCATTTCCAGGAAGCAAGAGAGAAGCATGGCCTCAGTGAACATGAATACATGATGTATATAGATGTGGACTAGAAAAGTCAGAAGTAACCTTATAATAGAGTTAATATAATTCTGTCAAAGAAATCAGAGACTGCATTAGCACCTAAGTTACTTTGCCTCTTTCATTATCACAGACACCAATATTGAACACTTGACCCTCCGGCAAGGATATGGATTATGGAATATTTACCAAACATTTCAATCACCTCAGCGCACCTCATTTACATTGGAGACATTGATTAAGGTTAAAGCTTAAAAGAAAGGAATAAGAAAGCAAACTTGTTTAATATATGCTCACAAATGAGCTTAATATATGAATTTAAAAGGGAGTGGAACAAAATAAGCAGGAACATCATAATAGAAGTCACTAAGCCGCCCTCTGTCCTAATAGTTCTTCCCTGTCCTCTCCACCAGAACCACAACACAAAACATTCACACCTATATAAAAAGTGATGAGTACCAATGAAGCATCCTAATCCCATTCATCTAATGAGTCATCCTTATCCCATTCATTTATAATGTCAAATACTTAAACTATGATGCAACAGAAATAAAGTTTATTGATTATCAATCCATGCTCATATAAAAGCTGAAAAGAAAGGATCTAAAATGTTACCACTAGACTAGTAAGAGTACAACATAATGAACATATTATTGAACTTCCAAAAAAGAGCTTGGGATCTATGAACGAAAGAATACAATGGATATGATAACATGAAGGAAGATAAATTGTGTCAACACTTATAAGGAGATTGTAAGTGATAAAAGAGCACACAGGTTCATATGGCCAAGGTTAAGTCAAATCCTGTGGGCCAATCAAAAGAGTTACACTCTTTGTGTGGTCTCAACATCCACAAGCATCAAATAGAGTAACTATCTCTGTCGTTAAACATACCTTGGTAACCAAAGTACTCCATCAAATACTCTGAGGCTAAATTAAAGACTGCTCATAGCATTCACACTCAATCAACCATAATATCTCATTGATACTGGTATGTCTCAGATTTCTTCATGCGTATGAAGGAAATGACTAGTTTAATAACAACTACGGTTCTTCCCATATAAAAGTTGCAAAAACCCTAGCATAACCCATGCTAAAGAAATATTATGTCCAATAGAAGTTGAATGGAATTGGAAATATCACTTCTAAAAACAAGAGCAACTAATGCAACCATTTAAAAATTTCCTTGTGTCCTACTTCCTGATCCAAACCTTTATTTATTAGTTTATTCACTTGTACATTTTTTTCATTTGTTTTATATAATAATAAATATCAGCATAGATTAAGATCACTATAGGTCTGCAGTCATATGTCGCAACTTTCTAAAGACATTGGAATACTGAAAATTGGCAAACAACAGCACAAAGAAAATCCAAAAGACAAAAGCAAATGATTAATTTACCTCATGTTCTAAACTCAACGAAAGTCTTTTGTCTAAACCTGTGTGCTTACCTGTTAACCAATAAAAACACATACTAAGATCGACGAAAACCGCACCCTAACGACATCCATTCAACCTAACAATAATTATAAAAGTGCTTCATGTAGGCAATAATAATCAAACATATATTCATGATGAGTTTCTGCTTACAAGAATATGCCTCCAAACATCCCTTAATAGTACGCTCGCCGAGATTTACATGACTCAAGAAATCGTTTATACTGGAAATAAAAACCGAAACTGTTACTAAATCAATTCAATCAATCAAAACCTAAAATAAGAATCAAAATTATAAAAAATAAACCAATCATACAGACAATCTCCAGGTCTCAGCTGCATACAACTACTACAAATGCTCAATAAAACACTCTATAAACTAGAAATTACGAATAGATACCGATTTAACTGAGTGTATTCGAGAAACTTCATGATTTAATTGAGAGTCGATTCTACAGACGGGATTTCGAGGCGGTAGCGGAGGCGGCGGAGGTCTACTTGTTCTATAGTAATCCTTGAGAACTATACCTACAAAAATCATTGAAAATGAATATATTATAATTACATTGCAAAACTAAAAAAGTCAATTCAACAACAATTTGAAAAATGAGATTCATTTCCGAAAACCCTTGCTATGAACACATCAATAAGAGATAGAGAATTGAATTCTCACCAAATTACACTACATAATACTCGAATTAACAAATAAACTAGAAATTTTCAACAAAAGAAACCCTAAATTGAAAAGCAACAACATTGAATTATTCCCCAAATCAACATACCTGCTTCTAATAACATACGATTAGATGCGGAGGAACTGAGTTGCCGAATTCGCGAAATTTCTCTCTCTTTCTGTTTCTCTTTCACTTTCTCTCTCCTCTGATTTGGTGGAATTTTTGCTGTAAGAAGGTTGAAATTTTGAAAATATAAAAAGGGTTGGAGAAATGGAGCCCTAATTCGAATATTCGGATTTTGGAAGGTCGTTGTTCAAACGATTTGGGGATATTTGTAGTGTAAGAGATTTAAGTGCATGTTCCGGTGTGTTACATCCCATGTGGACTTGATTACAATTTGTTTTTTTATTTTTTTTTGAATAATTGATGATCAATGTTTAACGATGTTCCTTAATATTGTTAAAATAGAAATTAATTCCCATTATACTTCGTTTTAAAAACAAATTCCCAAAATAGTGTCTACGTAGGATTGGTTTTCGGTTCAACTTAAAACCGCTAACGGTATTAGCGGTTTTGCAATTTTTGTAAAATAAAGTCAAAGAGACCTGTTTTTATTGAAAGGGGGTCTCTTTAAAGTTATAAATATATTTGCCAGCGCTCTCTTTTCTTGTTGTGGGCTAAGAATTAACAAGGACACAAAGAGACCTGTCATATTGAAAGGCGGTCTCTTTGAAATAATTTTCCTGTAGACTGTGCCTTGTGAATTAACCAATGACGCAAAGAGACCTGTTATTGTTAGAGGCGGTCTCTTTTTTAAAACCGCTATTACCATTAACGGTTTTAAGTTGAACCAAAAGCAATAAAAACGATCCTACATGGACACTATGTAGGGAATTTTATTTTTAAATCAATGTATTATGGGAATTGATTTTAATTTCAACAATATTATGAGAAATCGTTCGATCAACGTTTTCAATTTTTTATTTATGATGATTTGAGATGTCAAAATCTAATTCGACCATTCTGAGTTGAAACCGACATGAAAAAAAAAAATTAAATTTTGACTTTAGCCCTATTCACTTCACCTTAAAAAAAATAATATTAAATAAAAATAATTTCACTTCAGTAAAATTGATTTCAGTTCACTAAAAATAAGTTCATTTCAATAAAATTCAGTTATCTTATAGAAAAATTATCTATTCAAAAAAAATTATAATAGAAAACCAGTAAAAATAATTTTAGTTCTGTAAAATTAATTTAAGTTGAGTAAAAATAATTTAAGTTCAGCAAACATAATTTTGTTTCAGTATAAATAATGTCATTTTAGTAAAATTAAGGTAAAGTGAACAAAGCCTTATACAAGCACGATCACACGATAATTTAGCATGATTCAAGTTTGAAATTAGATATGATCCGGACACTCGAATTGACTACTCTCTAAAACCGTATCAACATGACCTTCCTCTGTTAAGAAGGCATATGCAACTTAATCATGTGTGCAGGAGGAGCAACCCGGGAGTTGGGACTGCGAGCTGTACTATTGATCACAGAATTATAATACGAACAAAATATTTCCCAAATTCATCAACATACCTAAACACCCGATCAATAATTACATGGATGGGGGTTAAGTTATTCTGAAAAACTTTGACATTTCTTTATGACTAAATACTCAGGAACATCCCACGTTGCACCATCTTCTTCTCAAGCTTTCCCTTGGCAATCATATCACAAACAGAGTTATGGTCATGTCAGGTCAAGTGTGGTGTACAGTTCTTTGACTCGAATGCAGCCAGCAACCACTGAAGAACACCACAAGCAGCTAGCTACCTTAATCATGTGGTGGTGTTTCAACAAGGCTCTTACAGCAGGGTACTCGTACATAGCCTCCAAAAGAAGTGGCGCACTTTAGGTGAGACTTCCGCTTTCCAGATTTAGACCCAAGCTTTGTGAAAATTATCCAATTCTCAACCTTTCCCAAGCATGTAGGCAGATTTCACAGTATAATCTCTTATTTTTAAGAAAACCCATGTCAGCTCGTCTTGTTGACCACTTTCACTCAAGGGAATTGCTTGAATGCAGCGACAATCTCTTTCTTTGAAAAGCTCCTCGATGACATTGAACCTCCCGCACCCATTTGCCTCGTCTATCAGATCATCAACTAAGTTGATATTTGGGATCTTCTCTGATGTGATAAAAAGCCCCCTATTATTAGCAACCCATGGGTCTTGCCATATGTCAATCTTTGAACCATTCTCAACTCTCCAAATTACCCCCTCCGAGACAAGGGCCTTTGGAGACCAGATGTTGCGCCAAGAATAGCTACCCGCTAATCCCAAACGAGCACTAAGAACTGTACTAGAATAGTACTTTGCTTTAAAAACCCGGCTCGGCAGTGAATGAGGATGACTAACAAGCCTCCAAGCTTGTCTCCCTAAGAGGGTATCATTAAATACCAATAAATCCCGAAACCCCAAACCTCTTAAGAACTTTGGAGCGCAAAGAGAATCCCAATTTTTCCAATGGGTTTTCTTTTTTGTGCCATCCAAACTGTAATACCTCATATTTTTAAAGCCTATTTAATTAATTTTAATCATATTTATTAGATTTAATATGTTTTAATTTGGATTTAATTAATTTCTCTTATAGAAAAGTTATTTTCTTAAAAGATTTTACCTTTATTTATTCAATTATATTATACATCTAAAACCCTTTTAATAAACATGCGAACTTCTGCTACTGTTGTCTGCTAATGAATAGTGCCCCTCCTCTTTTGCCATTGGATTTATGTTCAGCTTTGGGCTCTGTTGGGCTGTTATTGTGGCCTTTTTATTTTTGATGGGCTGTTTTATTGATGGGTTCTATTTCACCTCCTCTTTGGGTTTTTTGAGATCAATAAGTTATTTATTTACGATTGTCTTGAAGATGGTGTCTGTTAATCAAGTCAAGGATCAAGAAGCAATGAGGTGAGCATCGGTTTTTTTGTTCCAATTATTATTAAAAACTAATATTGATTTATCTAAAACTCTTTTAATTTTAAAATCAAATGCTATATATTTATTGATTTATCTAAAACTCTTTTAATTTTAAAATCAAATGCTATATATTATATAAATGCTTCATTTTTTTTATTAAAAACTAATATTGATTTATCTAAAACCCTTTTAATTTTAAAATCAAATGCTATATATTATATAAATGCTTCGTTTGTTTTTTTTTTTTAAATATAAATAAATCCCTCTATTAATATCGCTTGTTTTTTTTTCATATAAATAAATCCCTCTATTAATTATTGCTTAATACATATATATTATATATTAATGGAGTTCGTTTCTAATTTAGGTGTGCGACCTCATTGTGGCGGTTCAATTAAGTATTTTGTCATACATGCATTATGGCGCTTAGATAGGTATTTTTCATACTGTTTAAATTAATTGTATAAATTGGCTATTAGAGTGTTTTTAAAAACATTCCGGAAATTGTAATTTAACTGGTTTTGTTACATTGGTTAATGAATATCTACTTTCTGGCAAATGTTAGTATTATAGAGATATTTATTGATAAATTGTAATTTAGCTGTGGAATATGTATATATATATATACCTGTGGATAGTTATTTCTGGGTAAAATTTACAGCTGTAATGATTTGGGGAGTAATTTATTTTACTGTTTATGGGTTGACTAAAGTTTCACTTTTATCATGGGGTTTTCTGGTGTTTTGTACTTGTGATTGCTTGGAGTGTAAGGTTTGTAATCTAAAATTGATTTTCTGTCCTTATTCATGTACTATCAAATCAATATATTATATTGTTTTTGTACTTCAGAGTAGTAGAGTAAATATTTTTGAAAAAAACTAATCAATGGGCTGACTTTTAACATATATATATAGCGATTGAGTACATTAGTTTTGCATCTGGTTAGGTTTACTTTTCTGTCTCCAGAGGTCAGTGGTTTTTGGTTAGTATATTACACTTTTTCTCTGTTCTTTGATTTACTTGCGGATTACAGTAAAATAAATTACACCCCAATTCATTACAGTAATTGTTCCCCTGCATGTTATCCCCTGAACACTAATTGTTCACAGTGGGTTGCAGGTTTATTGTCCTCTGGATATAGGGGTGTTGGTTGAATTCTTTTCAAGGTGCTGCTTCTGTTTGAGGTTTTACAATTTGGTGAGTTCAAGAGCTTTGCAAGTTATATATTACAGAGTTTTGCATGTATTTTTTTGTGTACTGGTATTACTGGTTATGTTAATGTATAGGATTTATTTGCTAGAGTAATTTTACTTATTGGTCTTGGTGGTATAGTATGTATGATATATATATGTGTGGAATGTATTTGCTAGAATAGGTGTACTTATTGGTTTATGGTAGTATAGTATATGATATATGATATATATGTGAAATTGGTTCGTCTTTGTTGTTGTTGATTGCTATTGATATAATTATAGGCTATAGTATATAGTATAATAACATTCATTAATTAAGTATGTATGTTAATGGTAATCAATTAATCCATTATACATAGGAGTTAAGTAAACCTTGTTATTATAAGTTCTTTTTAGGTCTCTTATTATGGAATTTGAGTTATTGTAGCCTACATTTATTGGTACACATGTATGGTAATCACTTGTGTTGCCTTGTAAGATCTGCTGAACGTTAGAAATGTCATCGTTTCAGGTTATGGCTTCGTCTTCTGGTGAAAAGATTTGTATCCCTTTCTGCCCATTATTGATTCAGATCACTGACTGTCTTGATTTTCCTAAGCCTACATATTCAGTGACTAATGTTGCTGGCAAGTTTAGGTCAACTGTATATATAAGGACCGAGGGTGAACGTGGTATCTTTTGGTTTAATGGTGAAGAGGCACTAAGTGCTGATGAGCCTAGAGAATTTGCAGCTCAAAGAGCAATAAATTTCTTAATTAGGAAATATAGTGTTTGTGTTGGTGATTTCACTATGGATAGGATTCGTATGTATGAATTCTGTGAGAAGTTATATAGATTGAAGCGGATTTCCATGGAATCTGGTGATATATCAAAGTTGTGTGGTAGTAAGGTGTATGGTGGAGTTGTACATGTTTCACTTGATTATGTGGGATTTATGCCTAGAGTTATTAAAAAGACAGGAGTTCAGATTACAAGTATAGAAACAGCGTATTATGCTGATCAGGGGTATATATCTTGGCTTACAGTCACATGTCCACATAGTAAGACTGGTATGGAGTGTTTTTTTAGTGAACTGTGTGGTGATAGTACTAAGGCCCAACAGATGGCTGCGAAAAAAGCAATATATTATATTATGCATCAGTATAATTTGGACATCGTGGATGCAAATTATGGAGGTGCAAATTTGAAAGGTGTATTTTGTGCTTTAGAGAGGGAGAGTTGCTTATCTCTTGAAGAACGGAAGAAAGGACAAAAGGATACTGCGAGGCTTATGCCTTTCTTAGTTGAAGAAGTTAATGTAAGTCCATCTAGCGAGAGTTCAGAAGATGTGATCATTGTTGCTGCTCCGAGTACCCCTGCTAAATTAGTGCCTAAGCGCCCGGTGGGATCACCATGTACTCCAGAATTTGTAGGAAAGA